TCGATATTTTCTTTAATAAACTTGACTCGACTTGACAGGTTAAATTATCCTTTTTACTGAGTATACTCTCATCGGAAAACTGTGGCGCGAAACTTCTGCTCGGACTTCCTCAGAGAGAGAGAGAGCTGATCCCTGAAAAGTAACTTTCAGAAGACTTACAAAAAGGCTGCTTTTGACCAGTGAACAAGTAACGCGGACTTTAGCGATGGTAAAGGGAAGCCCTACCGTTAAAATAATCGGCAAAACTTTCTTCTAGGGTCACTTAAATGTCTATTTTCCTTCACCCAACTGTCCAATGTAATTTGTGGTCGAACATTTAATTCTCAGTTAGCGAGTGTAAATGAATATTTAACCGTATGGGAAGTGATCAAAATATTGAAGTAAAGAAACTTATATTGGGTTCAATGCACTAAATAGAATCCAATCCGCCAACATGAACTCCTGTTGCTCAGGAAACTGATGCCAGTCGAGTTAAATTCAACCTTATGTTGGCGGAAGTTAACGAAAAAAAGGGAAATTTGACCTCATCTTGGCGGAATTTAACGAAAAAGGGAAAGTCGGGTTATTGGAAATCTAAATGTAGGTTATTGTTATGAGTCAACTGCAAAAAGATCCTCTAATGAAAGTCCTGCCAAATAATCATAAGTAGTGAATGAAGTTGGCTGATGGAGAAAGGATGTAAATCATTCATGTTTTAAATTCAAAAAGTTCCCTCTGGGATCAGGAAAGAACTGATCTAAAATAGAAAGGGATCTCGAACAATCACTTCAGTCACTGTGTGGCGATTGTCGGACCTTTCGTTTTTTGTCATTTGAACCAGAATAATGCACTGTTATTATGTGGTTCCATTGAATTTCGTTCGAAGAACCACATAATGGGCTAAGAAACACAATTGGCGGGCCTATACTGGTTGAAGTAACTCGTCAAATATGAGAAAAAATAACAATTTTTGAGCAAGGTGGAAATGACCGTGGTGTAGGATAGTTTTTAATAGAGGATGTCGACAGAATCTAAGGTAGTATTTGTTTTCGTCCAACCCCGTCCCTTTTTGCTAGTAAAATAGATTGGCCATCTTATGAAATGTTAACCAACCTTCTAAATGTATTTTCGACTCGAAAAGACTGCCTGAGTATGATTACGGTAGTAATTATCGTACAGCATAATTTAAGAGCATTTCAGGCATTGCAGAATGCCGGCTTTTTTAACAAGCTACTTTTCATCCACCTGCGAAGAATGCACTCTCTAAAAAGACTCATTAACTAACAGATACCTTTCAAATTTATTTTCAATGCCCTTATAAATTAAAATATGTTTTAAAAAGCATGCGGGTCGGCTGATTGCGCCTTCTGTATATGTTGTCCCCCATAAAAGGACATATTTCGGATTAAAAAAGTTTCTGATGAGGTGGTTTTTTAGGCCATGAAATGTCTTTTCATAAAGCATCGCATTTATGCATTTATTTATGCAACGTACACAACATGACCCACATCCACTGCAAACGCTTTATGCCTTCTTTTCTAGACGAAATTGATATAGCTAGTATTATGGAGACTCCGAATGGGAGTCGGGAACTGAACAAAAATGAAAAGCGAAAGCTACGCTCTCTTTAAGTCGTACATGAAGGAATATTGCCTGTTTTCTGCAGGAGTATGGGACCTTTTGCTTAAAGTGTTATATCCGGATAAGAAAAAGTGCACCAAGTTCGAGATGCCTCGAACCGCGAATCTAGACTTTACTCCTCACCATGCGTCCGTTACCCCTCCAAATCTCTATGCTTGTCCTTGTAGCTTAACTACCTCTACGTTCCCGTCGTAAGAACTGCCAAAATTTCCGAATTCAAACGTGTCAGGCAAAGTTTGTCAATTTCGTTTTATCTTAAGGACACAAAAGCAACGAAGCCTAACAAAAAAATCCACCGAAATCGTGCAACTTACTCGGAATCTGTTAAGGAAAGTAGGGTAAGGTTCCCTGAAATGAATTAGGCGGTACGTTGCAGCGACTTGGAGAGTGGTAACTTCGTGTATACAATCTCGCGGGACTTCAAATTGCGAAGTTCAGCAGTCAACTCCTTTTTTGTAATATGACAGCCTTTTCGAATTGCTCATGGGACAGTTGAATTGAGATACCTAGATAATACAAGACAAAGAGTTTTCCTCATTGGTGGGCCTCCAGGTCCTTCATGCAGTTCCGGCTAGTACTACCATCTAAAAGTCTATCACTAAAATGTCGCTAGAAACCTTGTTGAACGCATTTCTCATTATTCTGAACTACATTAATTCCTGTTGAACCTGATGAACTCACATAGGAAACTTGAAGTGTAAATTCAAGTTTAACCCAAACGGTTTATTTGGAGACTGTAAACGTCTACTAACTACGCTCCTTACCGTCACATCTGGCGAAGGTGATAATCAACGTTATCATGCTTGCCTTAACGCCAGTTAGTATTACCGCCACTATATTTACTACTAGAAATACCAGATAAAGTCGACGATAATTTAAAGTAGCTGAGCTTCCTACATTTACATTGCAAATTGCCTTCGTTCTGAGCGGAATTCGGTAGGGAACTTCTAAGGTAGACCGTCTCGTTGAAAAATCACCTTACCCCTTATTTACTCGTGAAGTGGACACTCAGTGTCTTAATGTCAGGAGGATGAGAGGGGGAGGGAATGGTTTATGTGGTCCCTAGGGCAGAAACGGTGAATAGGAGGGTCTCCGTAATATAGACGGCTTTACGCTACATTCCAGGAAAATATGGATTAGAGGTAAAGTTGGAGCTGCTGTCAAGGGCAAGGCTCGCGACAGGGGTTGCGGCTAAGATTAGTTTTGTGATCAGCACACGGGAAGGTTGGCACACTGCCACCTTGAGGGAGGGCGATCCTATTCTTTTGTCTTGCCGGGGGAAGAGCACAGAAACGATTCTAACCGACGCAGAATGAAAAAAAGATCCACTGAGATTTAAAAAGGGCAAAATTGTCTTGTAGGGCCGCTTATTATATATTCCTCCGCCCAATTGTCTTACGGAATTGATGGTTAAACATTTACTTCTTGCTTAACGAGTATAAATGAATATTTAATTGTGTTGAAATTGATCGAAGAATATTAATTTTAAAGCCAAGTATAAGTGCTTTAATGCGCTAAATAGAATCAATTCTATGGACATAAACCTCTTCTGCTCATGAAACTGATGCCTATCGATGGCAATTTTAACTTATATTGGCGGAAATTAACGAATTTATGAATTTCGACCTTAAATAGGCAGAATTTAACGACAAAAAAGAGAGTCGGGCTGCTGAAAACGTAAAAGTAGTTAAGCATTATACGTCACGGGCAAATAAGACCTCTAAAGGCAGTCCTACCATAAAAGTGTCGTCCGATCTTAATTCTATATAAAAGTCGGTGGACGACTTTAAACCTCATGTCTTTTAATACACCATGATGGCCTGAAAGCAGGGAACCTTTGTTATAGCACGTTTTGCACGTTTTACTCGCACTTCATTGACATTATTTCCCTCTTTATCAGTTTCAAAATACTCCAGAGGGCAAAAGTAGCTTATGTGGTTCCCTCTCATATACCCTTAGTTCCAGAATTTTGTCCTACGAAAACTGGGGTTATAGGGTTTTAGGGTGGAATGGGGAAATAGGATAGGCAGAGAAGGAAATGTTTAGAAGTAAGTGTAAAGTG